AGCAAACACATCTCTAAAGCAAAGCCAGGAACAACAGAAAACAAAAGTATCACATTTTTTTTTTTTATTACAGACAACAGTACACTTAGAGTCCGTTTACATCTTCCAGGGCAGCTTGCCCATGGACAACTTTCTTCCACGAACCCATGGAGATAACAAGTCTCCAAAAATAAAAAAATTCAAAAAAAAAAAAAAAAAAATCAAAAAAAAAAAAAAAAAAAAGAGAAAACCAAATCAAACTAAACATCTCAATCTTAAATTAATGCCTTTAAATAACTTCTCTCACTACCATTAGAATGTAATGACAGAGAAGTCAAAGCCCTGGCCTCTGAGCAGCACACCACTGCCAGCAAGAAGTGTCATCTGGATCTGGGATCTGCCCACAAGGGTGGTGGAAGGAGAAAAGTAAGCTTCACCTTTCCCTCCTTCCCTTGTGCTGGGGAAGGTGCCATTAGCTTCTGGCAGAATGGAATGGGTGGGTAGAGAAGAGAGCAGTATTTTGTATGCTAATCGTACTTCACACTCAGAATCACCATGTCTCTGTCACAGGCCTTATCTTCCCCTCCCTGCAGGGCTTCCTGCCTCTCCTTGTAAGTGTAAGGATAGATCACCTTTGCAGTCCTAAGATGGTTCCCCACGGCACCTGTACAAGGAAAGGAGTTTGCAGGTCTTACTGCACATCCTCAAGAAGCCCATTTGGTTACTATCCATTGCAAAGAGCAGTATGAGAGAACAAGAGAAAGGAAATGCATGCAGCTTTGCTCTTACTTTCAGGAGCCTGACTCAGACAAACACGTTAACCTCAGCATCTCTCTGCTGACTGGGAGAACTTTCTGGTCTGGGGTCCTCTCTACCACATGTGGCAGAGCTACATATTGGAGGACCCTAACCCCAGGGTATAGCTACGGAGTGTACAGATGGTGCTAGCTGTGCAGGAGCATGAAAAATGTGGAGAGGATAGCAGCCAAGGAAATAGTCTTGTAGATCCTTGCAGCAGTCGACCACCAGCCTCTTCCAGGACAGCTTCTCCCCCAGACCTCATGGCTAGGGGATGAACGCATCACATGTACCACCACTAGTTCTAGACATCAGCTCTGACTTGCTCTTATTTCTTCAAAGTGGTGCTGGAGAGAGTTGGGAGTGATCATCCTAAAAAAAACCTGTCCCAGAGCTCACGGGATGTGCTCCAGGAAAAAAAGAGAGGAAGACTGAAATAAGCTAAAGCTTGAAGCATGAAGACAGCAAGCAGTGAGGTGAAGAAAACAATGCTGGTGCTTTTTCCAGTGGCACAAGGGAGGACAGGAGGAGACTGTTGTTCCATTTATAGTTATCTCCAAATGTTCAGCAGCCTTCCACATGCCAGAGAAAAATGGTGCATCCTGCACGCTCAGCTGTGCGCATGGAGTCACATGGTGATGTGGGAGGAGATTCTCTTCCCCACAACTCAGCATCTAAGTTGGGCAACAGAACTCAGGGAAACAGGAACAGGGAAAAAGGAATATCCAGGCAAGCAAGCAAATGAAGAGAGGAATGCAGAGGTCGGTCCCAGTCCAACCAGCTACTGCCACCCAGAACAGAGGAGGAATCCCAGGCTGGACAACACAGACAATCATGAAGGATGAATCGCCATGTAAAATACATGTTTTCATAACAGTCTGCAAAGTCATTTTCTCCGTGCCATACTGGCACATTCAGGCATCATCAATGAGCTTTTCACCATTTGCATCCTCCTTCCCACTACTCTCTCTCTCACTTCCTTCTCCTTCTTCTTCTTCTGCCCCATCTGTGTACGTGTCCTTCTGCCCATAGTTCAGAGTAGTGCGGGCAAGGTCCACCTCAATGGGAAAGACATCCGCGTCTCGGAGCACAGCATAGCAGTCGTCATAGTACTTTGACATTGTGGAGACAAAACGCTGGAGCTGGAACACGATGTCTTGCACTGCAATGGAAACACGTTGGGAACAAATCAGGTGAAACCCCTTCCCAAAAGGTGCCGAGGCTGTGATCAACATTCCCTCACCAGCAGGTGATACAGACTCCCACTCGTTAGTCCCATGCGGTGCCTGAGCACAGATATCTCAGGCATAGTCAACCACAGAACCACCAAGGTTGGAAAAGATTTCCAAGGTCATCCAGTCCAACCATTCACCTACCACCAGTATTTCTCCACTAAAACATGTCTCCCTTAGTACAACACATAAACATTCCTGGAACACCTCCAGGTGACTCCATCACCACCCTGGGCAGCCTGTGCTAGAGCCTATCCACTCCTTCAAGGAACAAATTTTTCCTAACATCCACCCTGAATCTCCCTTCCCTGGTCAACTCGAGGCCAACAAAAGGTTCTTCAGCATAGACCGTTAAGATGAATGAAGAGCACGAAGCCTGAAGCCACAAATGCCTCACATATGCCCGAGCCTTCCAGGTGCTGGACACAGCAGTGGTACTCACCATGTTTCTGGTCTAGGAGCTCTATTTTCTCTAGCACATCTTTCCTCATCTTGGCAAAACGTGTGCGAGCCTCCTGGCGGCAACGCAGGATAAGGCGGTACTCGTAGTTCCCAGTGCTGACCCGGTAGAGGGGCTCACCCAGAGCCTGCCAAAACACAGCACCGTTTCAGAGACTCCCACAGCACTGCCTGAACACACGGTTTGCATACCAATACAGACTTGCAGTGACCTCGGGTATTACAGCCCAACTGCAGTCAAGAAGCATGAAAGACTGTGAAAGCAGCCACAACAGCAAGCTGGCAGTCATCGTGGCCATTCTCAAGACCAAATATGCACCAGCCACAGTAAAGAAGGGTGCCACTATAAAACAAAGAAAACAGAACAAGCACCTTCCGAGTCAGCAGAGAGAAGTGGAAGGGCTTTGTAACTGAACTATTATGACAGATACCATAAAAAAGCAAGCCTAGGGCCTGAGGGATGTATTAATTTACATTAATCACACAGCAAACTCTGAGCTTCGGTGCAAGTTGTATTCTGTACGGACTGCATAATGTGGTGTATGTCTCTACAGGGAATTCTGTGCTTTCTACAACCATCCCATCACAACATTTGATCCATTAGGGATGGGCCCACACACTGTTCCACAAAATAGTTTGGAGGGAAAGGTGTTAGGTTTGTCAGCTAAACAACATTCTTCTCTTGCACCTGCAAATCTAACATAAAAATCCATGTTACTGACTATGGCTTCATAATGCACACTAAGTATGCCAAAACCCAGAGATGTTACTCTGCTGACCAAGACTGGGACTCTTCCCTTCCCAACTAGCACCAGAGCTGTAATTAAAAGCTGTGTTAGGAACGTTTTATTCATTCCTGGCATGGCAATGTAGGAATCACAATAAAAATCAAATCCCTCCTCTGAAAAAAAATGCCTAGAATAAAACAGATCTTGCTTTTATGCAGGGAAACTGGGTATGTGGGGAGCACTTTTAGCTATCTTAAACAGAGCTGCTAAGGATGACAGATGTGAAAGTTTAAAACAGGCAGCAAACTGTTACTGGAGAATGTCAATGGGGGTTGGTTTTGGTTTGGTTTTTTTTTGAAACCTTCTGGCTTCACATTACTTATTTTTAGGAAAAAAATATTCTTAAAAGAGATCCTTTAATCCATTTCTTCAATAACAAATGGAGCTTTCATATGCATTTCTTTTTTGCTGAGAAGCTAACCCTCCATTTCTCAGAAGCAAGATTTAATTAGAATTAATGGTAAGCTGTGCACTAGACACAAATGGAATCTGTGAAGATAACACCTTAAACCTTCTTACCCAAGCTAATATTACTTAAACACCAAGAGAGGCAACCACCGTGCACAGAGGCAGATAAGAGGACTGCTCCCTCTAGCATCCCACAGCATCCATGAGAGCTACTGTCAGTTTCCTAGGTAGTGTTTAAGGATTTCCAGGTTCTACTATGATAAGAACAAATGGATGTAGTTCCTATTAGGATGTATTTGCTAGTTTGCCTGTGCATATCCAATTACAAGGCAGTGTGCACACACAATCTACAGTAACAGAGAATGCAGTTTGCTATGCCACAGTACTCACAATGCAGCTGTACTCTTCATCATCCATCTCTTTGACTTTCAGGCAGTAAGACTTCACGGGATTTAAGAAAGAAAAAAAGCAGATAAGGGAATATTGAGGATTAGAAGCAATTCGACCACCGCTCACAGTCACAGAGTTGTATCATTTCAAGCCTTCCTTCAATTGCTGCAGCTAGGGATGGTGGGGAAAGCACAGTGGGATCAGAGCAGATTCAGCACCCCAGGTGAAAAGAAAAAGTTTAGAGAAAACAGTGGGGGAGGGAGAAGGGTCTTATTTACATGAAGTATTTGCTCCTGTAATACGAGTATAACCCAGTAGGAGAAAAATCCTGCATTCAACTACTGTTTGGGAAAACACACCGCTGGGAAACCATGGGCAAAGTGTAAATAAGGAAGAGAAAAAAAGATGAGCTGTGGGAAGGATTGATGTGGGAAGAGAAGTTGCCATTTTCACTTGCCTTAGGGTGCAGTTCCAAATATTTCCCTCAGCTGATAAAAGCAAACAGATTACGACAATTACAGAAAAGATGCACTACACAACCCTACACTATTTTTGTTTTTTGGAGTAGAAAGCAGGGTGTGAGTAGAATGGAAAAGGAAGAAAAAACAACAAACCATGGTCTAAACGAACACAAACATAATTTGACAGCTGTCCAATTTGACTGAAGAAATACAGCCCCAAACTGGCTCCAAAACAGGGACTCTGAGACTGTAGAGCTATTCAGGGGTGTTCAGGAGCACAAATTCAACCAGAATTCTTTACAAATGAATATGGAAATTAATTTGGTCAGATGGAAAGTAAGTCATCTGGATTCCGAGACACCCATTTTATTGGTGAGAACTGCGAGATCAAAAGGAGATGTTTGAATCAGAGTTATCTGTCAATAGACAAAGAACTGGGGGAAGACAAAAGAAAGCATTCTCATGTTAACCATGGAAGGATGCACATGTGATCGTGCAGACTGCATGTGATTCTCAGCCGATGATTCTAGAAAACGTAACTTCAACCAGCTTTAAAGAACTAAGAGCAGCTCACCAAATATTCAAACTTGACATCCAGGTATTTTTTGATAGTCAGCCTTGTGTCAGGAATGGCTTTATTCAGATACGTGTTCAAGTCGGTCAGCATCTGCAAGGGAAACATCCCGTTGCCAAACCTAAGTTTAAAAAGCATGACTATAGTTCATGAAGTCCAACCTTCTAATGGGCACAGGTCATGAGACTGTCTCGAGTTAACTCTTCTTTGAACTAGAACACATTGGAAAAAGAATGTTTGATCTTGATTCAGAATTGTCATCGTTAGAAGACCCATTACAGTTGCTAGTAAGTGGTTCCAATGCTAGAAATGCATGCCTTGCTTCTAGTTTCTATTTGTCTGCTTTTAATTCAACTTGTTTCATCTGTAATTAGCCCTGGAAATTGCTCTCCCAGACTCACAGATGAACTAACCAAGACTGCCCATGCAATACAGCACCTAAAGTAGCGCTCAAATCAATATTTAATATCCTGTTTGCTAATCAAAATGAATGGATATCCCGATGGCTCACTCAAATTTGCTAAGCTCTCTTAAATCTAATGACGTCTCTTATGTTATGCTAGTTATGGATACCAATATCAGGGAAAGGACTCCAGGGACTACACTGACCAAACCACCCTCCCAGCCCCAGTAGACGACAAGAGGCATATACTCATGGGCAGAAGTCAAAGGGACAAGTCTGACATATTCCCTGCTTTAACTCTTTGGTTCTTTATGAAGAGTTCTCTGAAGGAAAGCAACGACAGCCCTTCCCACAACAACTGATCTTTACGACAACACCTTCAAATACAGTCATCTGTCTTTCCAGACACCCTCCTTCTCCACACCCTTTACTGGTACGGTTAAATTCTTTACCGGCTTAATCGTCTTCAGAAGGTGAATCCCAAACTTCTCAATGTTGCGATGGGCATCGGCAAATTTCACAAAAGCTTCACTGGCAGCTGGTTGAGGCTCCCGGACACCAATGACAGAAAAAACGTCTCCAAATGCTGGACGAGGGTAATAAATGCAAACAAATGGTAGAAGGGGTTGGCCCTGGAGAAGAACCACGCTTCCAATGCTGCAACTCCTTCCCAAAACCTTGCACTTAGCTAAGAGATGATGCTATGTATAACAGACTAGAGGTTGGCAGGGCATTTCTTCAATGTTTTGAGTGAAACACAGGCACTGTGTTAGCACCATGACTGCTAACACCAGGAGGACAGCCCTCCCCTTTCGTTTCTGCAACACTTTGTTTTCTTTGGGTGAAGGAATCACAACTTGAAGTATCAACTAAAACTCCTGAAACTGGAAGTTAAAGGCTTGTGCTCCCTTTGCTCACTTGTTACCTCTGTGCGTCTGGGAGAGCTCAAAGAAAGCTCTGAGAAGACTCTTGGTGTGTTCTGTCAAGCCTGTAATGGAAGACAGAAAAAGACATTTAAGTTATTTCACTGAAACATAATGTAGGCATCTTTCCTCCCCACACAGTACTTGATGAAAGACACAGCTTACCTTTGTACAGTTCTGCAGTCCTCTCCAGCTCCTCCAATCTCTTCACCAATCCATCTAAATGTAAACAAGAATCAGGATGTTGAATTACAATAGTCAAATCCAGGACCTGGTGAAGGCATGTCTGACTGGAAAACCACCAGCTTCCTATCTTTGGTTCAAACTTCTCTCAGATCCAAAGCCTGTCCTATAGTCTAACATGGGAAGATTTTAAATTAACTGCAAACAGGTTTTACAGTGTGAGGTCACTGTCTATCAGCATTCATTACATGGGTTCCCACTAGAAATTAATTTGATCTTAGTTATCATTTAAATGGCCCCAAGGATAGAATGTACATCACCCATGAAGAGGCAATCACAACAACGAGGTATAGAAGGAAAGAACTGTGAAGTACTGAAGTGGGACATGTAAGTAATTATAAAAAAGGTGGTGAGCACAGGAAGGCAAGTGTTCCCTTACGAAAATGCCCTTGTGGGTGATACTCACCATTGCAAAGGATGGCTCGGCTTAACCCCAGGGCATCTGCTGTCCCTGAGCTCATGTTCTCCACCAGTCGATGCTTTACCTTCTTCAATACTAAAAGCCAAAAGAGAATGGCAAACCAGGATCAGAGTCATTTCTACAGGCACGAAAAGCACATTAGCACACTTCATCCATTTCTCAGATGCTGAATAAACTCACTAGCCTCAGTCTAACTTACTATTGAGCTAGTGAGCAGCAGAATACCATAGAAACTTCAGTCCAGCTGCTGTGCGGAGCACATCATTTATCTTGTCCATCTGTTCTGTTCTCACATCCTATATGCCTAAATCAGTAGAGGTCCAGCACTTCCTTTGGAAGACTATGCCAATAAATCTCATTATAAGCTACCTATCATTGTATTTGTAATTGAATTGGCTGCACTACTTCAACTGCAGTTAGGATAAGAGGCTGAAAGCAAGGTGAGTAGGATTTAATGCTCAAAATCATTTTTGCCCACTTACATCTTATTTAAACCCTTTTGAGACCCAGTGATGACATTCATTTCTCTCTTTGGTGGCCATACTCTGCAAATTATGCCCTTTTCAGCATCAGACGACTCAGCTACATTTATTTAGGGGCAAACTGGCAGGAATGTCAAGCACCTGCAGCTCCTAAGAATGTCAGCTGCAGCCGCAGCGTCCAAGATCTGTGGAAAATATTCCATACTCTTACTGCACTTCCGTTTCACCAGAAATCCATGCAAGTTCTTAGCATTTCCTGGAATCCTCATCTATTCACTGGGACATTAAATTAACCACCATTAAGAGAAATGAAAGTAACAACAGTACTGTGTTCTTTTAGGAAAATGAAAAATGCAGACCACATAGAAGAGACAACTGTAAGGGCATAGTTCAAAACAGATACTTTATTCTAGAAATAAATCCTCTCCTCTTTCCTGTAAAACATATGACTGTACAAACCAGTGTAGATAGGTACTTCATCACAGTTCTAAGAGCTGAGGAACAGAACTCAGTGTCTTTCAACAGACATTTCAGCATTCAGCTGAAAAATCTCAACAGGTCAGCATAATGCACACAGTAAAAATAAACAGATCAAATGACTATCTAATTGAGTTTTGCTATCGTTGCTCAATGCAACACAGAAAGGAAACCATGCTGCAACAACAGCCAAGCTTTGATTTAATTCTCAAGACTACTTCAAAAAGGCAAGGAAGGATTTTTTTTTAAACCTTATTCTCTTTGACAGTTTCAAATTGAAAATGTTTGAGCTAGGAGGAAGAATGGAAAGAGAACAGTACTTCTGTTCCACCTGTGACCAATCTTTCAGCCCTCCATGTTGCTTTAACACTGTAGGGAGACAGAAATCACTACATCTTACCGATATCCAAAGACTTGCCCTGCTTTGGGTCAGCCTGAAGTTTGTTGTAGTGAATTGTCACTTCTCCCTGTAGGAAAAGCAAATTCAAAGCTGCTGCGCTGGAAGCAAGTGACTGCAGCTTTCCTTCACTGATGGACAATACAGTGTAAACGACGACCCAGAAGCTCCCCCTCCTACCTCTCACCTTTACCATCTGTATCATCTTGGCAACTTCCACCTTGGTCTTCCCTTTGACAGACTTGCCATTGACCCCTGTGATTTCATCGCCCGCTGCCACGGTCCCATCTAAGGCTGCTGGAGTGTTATCAAATACCTAGAGAAGGGGAGAAGAAGCACAAGCAGTCTGGAATCAGAAGAATGAAAAAGAACGGTGCAGGGCTGAAGAACAAACACCTGGCAGCTATATTTCTCCTACTTAACTTGGTTGTATCTACGTACAGTTCATGGTGAAGCATCAATTTTTCTCCTAATTCTGAGCTGGGATGATCATCTTGCTCTCTCAGGAGTTTTTTGTCTTCAAGACATGCCTTTTCATGCACAGGACTTAGAAGTGTCAACACTGTTCCCCTCTGAATTCTAACATGCTCTCCAAGAAGAATAATCTCAGAAGTCTTCATGTTATTCTTCCATGCATACTAGATGCTGGGGTAAGGAAATCTTATCTACTGTTAAGTGAAATTTCTCAAACTTTGAGAGAAACAAATAGCACGGGGCTCTCCATGGCTTCACCTCTCAGGCCAATGCCCTTTCATTTACTCTTCCTCCGCAGGTGCCCACCTGGACAATATAGAGACAGGGGCAGTATTGTGCTCCTCCCCCAATGCTGATCCCAATCAGGTTCTGGGAGTCCTTCTTCAGGGTCACTGTTCCAGGTACAGTGGGGATCCCTCTAGAATGAGAAAGGAGGTAATGGAAAACTGAACACAGCAGACAGAGCTGTACCTGTACAAAACAACTGTGGTATCTGTGACAATAAAAACGGAACACGATAGACACTGTACATTTTAATTAAGCACATTATCTCTGCCACAGGGTCTATAAGCACATGACAACACAAAGACACTCTGAGCTGCTGTTTTTGAGACAGCGCGCATGGAGCGAAGGACGGAGAGATGCAGAGAGAACACTGCTTTGTTTTAGACAGTGTTTGAGCTGGTCTTTGTGCTGGAGTGAGAGATAAGTATGTGCAACATAAATGAGACTCCATGTCAAAGAAACTGCTGATTTCATAATACCTTTTTCTTGTTCAAAAAATTCCAGTGCTCCTTACAAACCCATAGGCTCCAGAGGTTTTCTTCCACTTACTGCTGCCTCTTACTGTCTTCCATTATAAACTTTTTTCTTCCTCCAGCTAAGGTCATTAATTTACTGAGGATCTGCTAGGACTACCTTGCAACAAGAAGCTCAGAGCAGTCCTTGGAGAGAGACACAAAGCCCTCTTATCTGCTCACTATCACATCGATCTCATCCCCATTTCCCAAGGCAGCAGGAAGCCAGAACTGATAAGTGAGCCTGACCCTTTAGCACGTTTTAGAATCAGAACTGTTTGTTGGAAGGGAGCCTTAAAAGCCATCTAGACAAACCCCCTACAATGGACAGAGATGCCTACATCTAGATCAAGATGCTCAGAGCCCCTCCAGCCTGACCTGGCATATCTCCAAGGATGAAGCATCCACACCCCAGGCAACCTGTTCCTTACTGGAACTTCAGTACACTTACTGTAAAATAAGTCTACATACAGTCTAAATCTCTCTTCTAGTCTGAAACCATTTCCCCCTGTACCATTGCAAGGAACCCTGTTAAAGAGTCTGTCCCCTTTTTTCTTACAGTCTCCCTCTAGATGCTGAAAGGCTGCTCACTGGTCTCCCTGGAGCCTTCTCCAGGCTGAACAGTTCCAGCTCTCTCAACTTCTACTCTCATAGAGTAGATGTTCCATCCCTTGGATCATTTCTGTGGCCCTCCTCTGCATGTGCTCTAACTGGTCCACGTCTCCTGTACTGTGGGTTCCACATTTGGACACAGTACTACAGGAGAGGTCACACAGAACAGAGCAGGATCACCTCCCTCTCCCTGCTGACCATACTGCTTTGGATGCAGCCCAGGACACAGTTGGCTCTCTGGGCTGTGAGGGCACATTGCTGGCTCACCACCCACAAGTGTCCTCAAATCCTCTTCAGCAGGGCTGTGCTCCATTCTTACATCTCCCAGCCTGTACTGGTAGTGGGAGTTGCCATGACCCAGGTGCCAGACCATGCACTTGGCCAAGAATCTCATGAGGTTCTTGTGGGTGTACTGCTCAAGCCTGTCCAGATCTTTCTGGCCTTGTCAGCAACAGAGAAATCTGCTGCCATTTGGTTTGAGCTGAGAAGACTATTTGTATATTGTTAGAAAAACAAAACAAAACAAAAACCAGATGAGGGCCATACTCACAGCTTATCTTCCTCAATATCATAATCCAAATCCGCAAACATCGTTTTCGCTAACTGGAACCTGATTGTCTGAAAGTACTTGTTGCAAACTCCCTGGCAAGAAAGGACAGAGCAAAAACCCCGTAAGGCTACGGTCTCTGCAGGTGACCACGGGCACCAACTTCAACTCCCACCCCCTCTATTTCTGAATGGCAAATCGCGCCCTGCCCTGATACTGGAGATGAGAGAGATGCCAGGTCCCTGCATGCTCTGCTCCACCGCGCCCCAGGTGCAGCACTACAACCGTTGGCAGCCCACGGCCCGCTCCCCGCGGACCCTCCAGCTTTGTTCTCGGTTTCCTAGCAACTGACGTCAACCCCGATGCCTATCGCATGCAGAAGGCCCCGCTCTCCCCGCCCGCTTTTCTCGTGTTAGCAGGCTCAGGCCCCGCTCGCTGCCCCGGGCTCGGTCACGCTGCCGCCGCCCGCCCCACATCAAAGCCGAGACCTTTGACGGCGGCCGGGCCGACTCCCCCCGCGCCCCACGCGCGGCGCCGCTGCTGTCGTCACCGTTCCGATGACCTCACGCCTCGAGTACCCCTCGTCGCCTCAGCCGGGCCCGGGCCCGACGGCGTTGCCAGGGCAACGGCGGCGCGAAGGGCGACCTGGTGGTCCCGAGGCTCACCGGAAGTGACAGCCCGGCGCGCGGCCGTACCACCTTCAGCCCGCTGACGCGTCGCCGCCGGAGCCGACCGGAAGCGCACAGCCAGGCCCCGCCCCCTCCGCTCGCGCCGGTGTTGCCATGGGGTCGCCCTCCTTCCCCCGCCATCTTGAGAGTGGCGCACTCGCCATTTTGAGAGTGGCGTGGTGTTAGCAGCTCGCTTCCCTCGGCTGTTTGGGGATCTTAGTATCACAGTGTTGGAGTATAAGAGCAAGAGCGGGTTTTATTCATCAGTGTGAAGCCCTGGATCTGAGACATTATATATTAATAGAATCGTTGAATATCCCTAGTTAGAAGGGGACCCATAAAGACCATCGGGCTCCACACAGGACCACCCAAAAATCAGACCCTGCATCTGAGAGATGCTCCTTGAACTCCAGAGCCTCCCAGAAAGTTACACCAGCCGCCCGGCTGGCATTCATTCCTAAGGCAGCAGCTCCTCCGTGTGGGCGCTGCCGAGAATGGCTGCGGGAAGGCAGCGTGTCTGATGGGCTCTGCGTTTGTGCTTCTCCACTGGTGTGTGTATATTGAATGTGCCCCTCAATCTGCCCCTGAAGCATACCTGAAGTCTTTGTACACGCGTGCTGGGTGACCCTGCATTTTGTGTGCAGGTCTTGATAAATGAAAAACTTAACATGAGCCAGCAATGTGCCCTTGCAGCTTGGAAGGTAAATGGTGTCCTGGGCTCCATCTGAAGAGAGGTGGCCAGCAGGGACAGGGAGGTGATTGTCCCCCTCCACTCTGCTCTTGTGAGGCCCCATCTGCAGTACTGTGCCCAGATCTGGAGCCCTCAGTACAAGAAAGACAGGGAGCTGTTGGAGAGGGTCCAGAGGAGAGCCACCAAGATGATCAGGGGACTGCAGCACCTCCCCTATGAAGACAGGCTGAGGGAGCTGGGCTTGTTCAGCCTGGAGAAAAGAAGGCTGCGGGGTGACCTCATGGCAGCCTTTCAGTACCTAAAGGGAGCCTACAAACAGGAAGGGAATCAACTCTTTGAAAGGGTAGATAACAGCAGGACAAGGGGAAATGGTTTTAAGTTGAGGGAGGGGAGATTTAGGTTGGATGTCAGGGGGAAATTCTTTACAGAGAGAGTGGCGAGGTGCTGGAACAGGCTGCACAGAGAGGCTGTGGATGCCCTGTCCCTGGAGGTGTTCAAGGCCAGGTTGGATGGGGCCCTGGGCAGCCTGGTCTAGTGTGAAATGGGGAGGTTGGTGGCCCTGCATGTGGCAGGGGGTTGGAGATTCATGATCCTTGAGGTCCCTTCCAACCCTGGCCATTCTGTGATTCTGTGGTTGGATGCACTCTGCATGAGATGGAGAATGCGTGAGCCCGAGGGCTGTCTGTCTCAATACTAGAAATCTGATAGATCACCTCATCCCAAGGGGGAAAAGTAATGAAAATGATCATCTGAAATAAAATTTAAAAAAAACCAACTATACTACTTACTGCCTACCAGCATAGTTTATATCAAGAGAGCTCAGCAAATACAGACCTTTTTTCCACCTTTAGATACACAATACAGCAAAGTCAGCCCAGGCTCCGAGAGTCAAACTCTCTTCTGCTCGTCTTTCATCACATGTAATAAGGAGTCTGCAAGCAGATCACACGCTGCATGACTAGTTGGCTTCTTGGCACTCTGATGTATTGCTCTGTGCTGGGTCTCTGCTGAATCTCGTGTTTCTGGCTGCTTTTCTGCTACTGTTGTCAGCTTAGAGTCAACGTGACTAACGCTGAGCTAACATCCTCCCCAGTCACTGTCCTTCAAGCATGTTTTCTGTTCTGGGGGATAAGTATGAGGATTATGTTCTTCTTCTCAGGCCAACCCCTGTCTGGTACTTCACAGCTTGTCCTGCTTCTGCTGGCTCCGTATATCTTTGCACAGTACAGGTATGGGGCTGTTGGCCCCACTAAGGTGGGATAGAGAGACAGTCATATGCAAACTTATCACATGCTGTTAGCACATGCATCCTGTAGCTACAAACTCAGAGAGGAAGGAATGAGAAATGTTGAAAAGGTGGCTATATAACTGCTTGTTTACCAACCTGTAAACCTCATCACTGCTACAGTGGACATCTTATGAGGATCTCTAGGGATGAGGTATAGCTTCTGTCCACTGGCAAGCTGGAAATATCCCTCCCCACTGGAGCTCCAGGATCTGAGAGCTTGGCCCATACTGTTTCAAAAAGATACAATATTACTGCTCCTTGGAGTTCAGATGGAATTAATTTGGGTGGTGATATTTCACAATTCATGGTTGAAACCATTTTTCTGTTTTTGCATTTCTTTTTTTCTGTTTTTTTTTTTTTGTTGTTGTTGTTTTGTTTTGTTTTTTGTTTTTTGGTTTTTTTGGTTGGTTGGTTGGTTGGTTTTGCTTGTTTTGCCTTGATTAAATTCATTTGCTTTTGAACTTTTTTTTGCTCTGATGGAGTTTCTTGAATTTAGGATTATCAGAAGTTTATCCAGAGGAAAGCATTCTGATAAAAAGACCACTGTCTGGTAGACACACTGTATTTCCACTTGCAACAAACACATTTCCCCTTGGCATTGCTTCATTTCTTCTTCTACTCAAGGATGTAAGTCTCAGGTACATCTGTTCTTACCCACTGCTAACATGCTACTCAGTCCTTATCACAGAATTGAAAGGGACCTCTGGAGAACAAGTCCTTGCTAAAGCAGATTCCCTAGAGTAGGTTACATGGGAAAGCATCCACATGGGTCTTGAATAACTCCAGCAAAGAAGACTGCACAGCCTCCCTGAGCAGTCTTTTCACCTAGAAAGTCCAGTTGTTAGTTAGATCAAGGCATTAACCGTGGAAATGCAATATTTGCAACTTGAAAAAACAGTGATGCAAAGTCTAACAAGGTTTCTGAGACCCCGCAGGTGGAAAGTTTGGGATCTTGGCCTTTGCACACCAAGCACACGATCACACATTACTGCACAATCTAGAAAGACTGTCCATCTTGCAAGGTGCCACCAAAGCTCGTGGTGCTTGGGTTAAGCCCTGAGGGTGTGGAGCCCTGTGGTGAAAGAGCAATGGGGCGTATAGGGGGCCACATTTCACGAGCAGTGGCAGAGCGTAGGATGGGAAACAGGCAGAGGTTTGCCCTCATTATGCCTGGGTCTAACATGCCAAATTACCCCATCCTCTCCTCACCTCCTTGATGTGAAAGACTCTTGTTGAGAGTGGCCATAATTCACGGTGAACACCCTGCCTCCCCCTTACTCCCTTCACACCCGCTGCTCTCCATTTTCCTTCCAGAAAAAAAAATGCGTCTTTGATGAAATGAAATGGCTCAGTCAAAGAACCCCTCAAATGATTGGGGACCCCTGCACTTGGCCACCCTTGCCCACTTCCCAGCTCTATTTCTGGCCGAGTTTGGAGTTTAAGTAGGCTGACCTTGTGCCCCGGCTGCCCTGGGGGTCAGTGATGAAAGCGGATGGAGGCTTCACAGTCAGGTCTCTTGTGTGTGACTCTTTTGTTCCAGGACAGGGGTGTGCAGTGCCTGGGACAGTGCTTAATTGTTCGGGGGCACTGCTTTACCCGTCATGCCCTTCCTCGGGTGGCCCCAGCCCTTCTTGCTCATGCGTGGGAGGGAGGCAGCTTCTCCACTTGGGGTAGGGAGGAGGAAACACAGTCTGGGTTGCTCGGCATCGTTTCTGGCTGTTTATTAATCCATGCAATAAATTTTAGAGTGCCAGGAAGCAAAAATAAAAATAAGAAAAAAAAGAGAAATTCCTGGCATCATTCGCAAATCCTGTTTGTCACTGAGTGCATCCTCCCTTGTCCCGTTGCTTGGTCCATATGTCATGCTTCATGGATGCACCCTGGCACCACGGGCTTAGGGAAACAAGATTGGGCTTAGCCTGAAAGGAGATGGTGGGCTTGTGACAGGAAGTGCAGAAGTCTTGGGTTGGGGCATACTGACAAGGTGATGTTTTGAGAAAGCGAGTCCAAGACTGGAGGTATTGGAGCTCCTGGAAAATTTTGCTAGGCCCAAGCTGAGCACCCACACCTGGCAATGCCCTGTCAGCATGCAGTGGGTTTGGCTGTAGGTAAGCAGGAGAAGGATGGCAAACAGCCTTTGGGGCTGATGATAAAGATCTGAAGGCTTGCAGACATCCGTGATGAGGATAGATAAACACGTGGGAAGCTTTGTACTACTCAGTATCTCTTTGATGCTCCCTCTGCATCTTTCTTTTTGCAATGAGCCCTTCCCGTGCCTCACATCTTCATTGCAGCTGGAGGCTGGGCAGAATACTGCATAGCAGGCCGTCTTCTCTGCTGTTTCAGTGAGTGTCTGCACAAAGGAAATGGATAAAAGGAGTGGAGGGTCAGAGTTTAATTACCCTATTGTGTGCAGAGATGAGTGATGGACAGAGACTGTCAGTGGGTCACCGATTAGCTGCTGTGGAGCAGACAGAGGAGGGGGAAACCCTCCCATGCAGCCCCCTGGACAGAGCAGTGTTGGGGACAGCCAAGTGATAGTGAGACATGGAGATGACAGCTCAGAATGGGAGACCCTTTTTAATTGAGTTGCTCCCCCCCCCCGTTGTTCCACTTTGTTACTGCCACCATAAGGAGCCCCATGGGCTCCAAACTCTCTGCTGGGCCCTGGGTGCTTCACTGGCAAGGGTGTGAGAGCTGCTTGGGTGGTAGGTCCTCTGAGGGGATGTAGAATAAGGTGAGTCATTGCCTCCAACTGCACTGAGCTCTCATGACCTGGTGGGGCGGAGGCAAGGAAGGAGGCAAGGAAAGCAGGAGGGAAGGTAAGGAAGAAGGCTGAAGGAGGTGGCTGCTGGTGGGTGAGGTGTGGTACAGACAGGGCTGCTCTGTCCGGATGTGATGGTTTCAAGCAGAGAGACCTGCCCAGGA